GTTGTTGCTGTTGCTGTTGCTGCTGCTGTTATTGCCGTTGTTGTTGCTGCTGCTGTTGTTGTTGTTGCTGTTGCTGTTGTTGTTGTTGTTGTTGTTGTTGTTGTTGTTCTTGTTGTTGTTGTTGTTGTTGGTTGTTGTTGTTGTTGTTGTTGTTGTTGTTGTTGTTGTTGTTGTTATTCTTGTCGTTGTTCTTGTTATTCTTGTTGTTGTTGTTGTTGTTGTTGTTGTTGTTGTTGATGTTGTTATTGTTGTACGCCCGCCAAGCGCAGAGCACGCTCGCGCAGCGTTCAATTGCAAAAAATGTTATTGTTGTTGCTGTTGATGTTGCGTTGCTGTTGCTGCTGTTGCTGTTCTTGCTGCTGTTGTTGTTGTGGTTGTTGTTAGTGTTAGTATTGGGAGGAGTGGCAGTAGCAGTAGTACAGTACCAGTAGTCGCAGCAGGGGTGGTGGTAGCAGTAGTGCCAGCAGCAGCAGCAGCAGCAGCAGCAGCAGCAGCAGCAGCAGCAGCAGCAGCAGCCGTAGCAACAGCAGCACCAGCAGTAGCGATGCTAGCAGCTGTCTCTTGCATGCGACTCGACTCGCGATTCCAGATGCTGGCCGTTGGATTGGACACCATTCGTGCAGCAGGTAGCACACCTAAGAACGTTACGGCAAAGACAATTCATGCTTGGACTTAACTCACATGGATGGATTGGAGCGAAGCAAAATACCAGCAACACCTGCCAAACGATCGTTCCTTTGCCCAGCTCTCACGCGATGCATAGACCGATCAACAGAATGGAAGCCAGCACCTTGGCCGGCCTTGGCCTAAACCGAGCTTACAGACTTTGCTCTGGATGCTGTGCTGGTTTACCCAGCTTCGGAACGGCATCGTACTCTGCAGCACCAAAGCAGTAGGACAAGTGCCGTCGCGCTGCGAACCAAGACCACAAGAACAGAAAGAGGCCGAAGGCATGCAACGAGTGGCCTGTGACGATGATAACTGCAGCCATGTTGTCGGTGGTGGCCCTGAATTCTGGCGTCAAGTTCAAAGTAACAAGGCCGGCACCTGCCGCAAATCCAAGCACGGCGAGTGTGCGTGGGAAGAACCGGGAAAGTGTGGCCAACTTGCCCGGGACCCATCCACATGGCAGAAACATGTAGAGGAGAGCCGCGAGACTGGATGCGCCGACTGTAATCGCAAGACTTCTGCTCGTGTCGCTTCCCTCAGGCAGTGCTACCATACAGAGAAGGCTGATGATACCTCCGAAACACATACAGCTTGTGATGTGCATATTCAACATTTCGTACACAGGAAATGGGATGCACAGCGACAGCAACTGCATCAAAGGCAAACTTTTCGACTTCTCCGGGTATGTCTCTACGGTGCACCACTGCTTCAACTCACCATTCACTCGTTCGAAGAGAGGAAAAATCTGGTGGAAACTTGGATACTTCGGCCAAACATAGAATTTAAGGGCAGTGTGTGCAATGAGCCTCACTGCCACTAAGGCTGTTACCAGCCATGCAGCCATGCTTCGACGGTAAAAGTATAGTGGCAAGAAGCCACAGGCATAGTACACAAAATGGATAATATGACTTGTGGCCACGTGCACGCCATTGGTGCTGTAGGTGCACTGGAACTGCATTGCCTGGAAGACCGTGTAAACCGTCAAAATGCTGCCCAGTGTCTTATCAAGACGGATGAACAGTACGTTACATGTCAGCACGGTGATCAGGCCATAGGTCGCACTAAATGCGAATGCTTCAAGCAATGTCTGCAGCAAAGTCAGTGTCCCAAGATTGTAAAAGCCTCCGCCGTCCACCACCGGACCAAGTGATACTGCCCACTGCGGAAGTTCGTTCAAGCCGATCCGGTTGTTGCCATCTTTGTCCACGCATGGCCGAAATATGACCGAGAAAAGGGCACACACTACCACATCAATGCCAGCTGTGATGGCCACGATGACCCAGGGCTCCATCGCTCTATTGGCGATGAGGGCCGGGTGGGGCGCTATACAAACTCCACCTTGACTGGGCTACTTTGACCAAGCAAGGCTGCATGTGGGGGGGCGGGGGGTCATGCTCTGGGTGCGGAACTTCCGCCTGCAGCCCTTTGCATAGCCATCAACTCAGTCCAACACCGCCTACGTTCATTGGAGCCTATCGTATGCAGATCATGGGCTGTTCGTAATCCGCCTTCGACATGTTTGTAGCACTCCTTTTTGTCGCTGCCTGTGAACCTTCAAGTCTTCAAGTTCTCTGAGACGTCTGAGCTCCCTATTATCGAGATCCTCACCAACCCGAATGACAACCTTGAAACGTCAAAGGTCTAGTTCACTAAGATCTCAGAACCCCAAAAAACCTTAAACCTTGAACCCCCAAACCCAAAACAGCACAGGACCGCTGAAGAGCCGAGCTTCTGTCAAGCTCTCTACCGAACTCTGCCTCGCGCCAGGCCTTTCGCTTTCTCGCCCTGTCCACTCCTTAGGCCGGCACATGAGCTTCAGAATAAGAATCCGGACCATAGCCGGGGTTTAGGCTTTATATAGGGGTGTTTATAGTGTGTGTGTGCTCCTTTCGGAATGGGGGCGCACCCACTTTTAACCCGCGCTTGTGTTAGCATGTAGCAGCTATTCTCAATTAGGGTTTAGTTACGTTTAGGCTTCACCCCCCAAGCCCCCCTGTAGGGGGGCTTTCTTGCTCTCTGTTTCTCTTCGCAGTTCTATATAAAAACGACCACGTCTAGTAGATATATGTATGCACATGCATACTTGGAGTCTTATTCGGCTTTGCAAGGTTCATGGGGCTGAGGGATCGGCTTTCCGAAGAGCCAGTTTTGAAGTCAAGGTAGGGGCCCAAATACTTACCAATACTATTTTGGGGGACCCTTACTATAACTATAGCAGACTGTGGTTTAATGGGACCCAAAACCCTATTCTAAGTATGAATGAAGGTTCCTATATTATGTTCTCCAGCGCTTGCGCTCTCGTTTGGAAACGTACCGTTCTGCGCCATGTGTATTCGGAGAAGGCTTCCAGAGCAATATGTAATTTCGAAAAACTTAGGACCCTGGCACTGCCCAGCAACAAGATGCACACAAAGAAACACTAATGGGTTCACTTCTTTCCGCAAAAACCAAGGAAACACAAGTTACAGCTTCCCTTGGGCTTATAATCTAGCACTAACTTGTACGAACGTGGAGGATTCCAAAGGCAGGTTGTTCAAAGCAAGAATAAAAAGTCTTACGATCCCTAAACCCTTAACCCCGCAACCCGAAGCCCTGTATCAGGAGATGGGAGCTTCGGCAATATTCTGGCACCGTTACACAAACTTATCAAGTGTCAAAGATCCATTTGCGAACGTTAATAAAGTTCTATACAGAGGTAAGAATATATATATATATATATATATACACTTTATATATCAAGTTCTAGATGAAGGTATGAATATCTAAATACCTTGCATCCATTATATTTATATGTGCCTGTATAGATTCTTGTGACACCCCCCCCCCTTCTCCTCTCCAAGAAAAATTGTCCCGTACTGCTCTGACACCCACCCACGGGAGCCCCTTTCCATAGGTGCAAGAGAGCCTCGCTTCTGCTCACGCTCGCGCAGCTCTTTCCTGCAACCAGGGTTTTTGGGATTGACGGAGTTTGGGTAAGTCATGGCTTGACCCACTGCCAGCAAGTGTGTGACTCGGGATAGGGTCGCTGGATCTTCTGGGACACACCCCACGTCCCAATACAGGGGCCTCAAAAATCAGAACAGGGTTTTGGGGTTCGTGACCACAAAGACTATTATTCGGACCCTGCTTTCCGGGCGTAGCCGATACGCGAATTCTGAACTTCACCGACGCCCTCTAATTAAACCAGATGATTATGAGCCCTAGACATTAGAAGCCCTCTTCAACTCAAACATGAAGCATACACTCTTGTAAACTCTAAACACCTAAGCCTCACACCCCTTCAAACCCTGTAGAACCCCGTGAGAAACCCTTCTGGGAACCCTCACAGAGAACCTTTAAGACTATCTAATCTCTAAAAAATCTCTGAAACCGAAGACCCCGCGCCTAAGGAACCCGTGCCTCCTTAAATGGAGGAGACCGGAGAAACCCTAAACCCCTCCCTATACTCTGAACCCCCAAGCTCCTAAACCCCGAAGAGCCCCAAATCCCCAAAGCCCCGAAAACCCCGAAAACCCAAGAAGCCCCTGTCATCCCCCTTCGATTCCTTCTCTGGGCCGCTGCTCCACCAGAGACATCTGAAGCACCATACCTGAATTGAATTGGGGGGGGGGGGGGGTGTAGGGGTTTTAGCACAGTCAGATTCACCACACTCACAAAACACGTTCACTCTTTGAAAACCAATTCACAAATTCGCTGGACCTCCGACCATCCTACACATCTCCACTTCTCCAGGTGTAGGGGTTTAGGGTTTANNGGTTTAGGGCTTAGGGTTGAGGGTGTCGGGTTGAGGCTTTAGGGCTTCAGATATTGAGTGGATGTAGGGATACCTCCAGCAGTTCAGGGTTTAGGGGTGTAGGGATACCTCCAGCCGTTGGCTTTACTGCTTTACTACGGCTCAAGGCTTTGCAGGCTTAGGTGGTTAAAGGATTATGGTCTTCCTGAAGGCTTCTTGGGGGGGGTTCCTGGGTTGAGGTGAAAAGGGTGTGAAGTACCCTATGCCCTGGACCAAAACCGGCTTTTATATGTCTGCCTATAAGGATCCCATTTGGGTTCCGTGCTTGACACATAAAGGTCTTAAGGTTAGACGCGCAAGGGCTCTGAAGGATGTATCCGGGTGTTCCGGTGTATTCTTGAATAGGGGGGTTTCGGGTTTGGGCGCGCTTGGGCTTAGAGGCTAGGGATTGAAGCTCATGTATCTATGGAGTTGGTGGCTTTCGGTTGTTGGGGCGTTTGTATTCGACAGTGGCCTGGTTTCGAGTATGGGGGTTTCCAGGTCTGGGGGTGCGGGGTTTTAGGGACTACCTATGGCCCGAAAAAGAGCCTACCTGTTTAAGGATGTCTAGAAACCAGTTTGGGGCTCAGGAGATTCCGGCAGAGCTCAACCGTGGCACCCTTTAGACCCTTTATGCAGAAACCTTGAGAACAATCATGGAAACTTTACGGAGCCCTTATTCGAAAACGTTTGTGGAACCGCTGAAAAAACCCTGAACCGTTCTATTCGCTCTTCGGCGAAAGTCTCGATCTTGAAGCCTCGGTTCTTGAGATTTCCAGTAGAGACCGTGGCTTGAAGAATCGAACAACATATGATCATGTTTAGGGTGTAGGGTTTAGCTGCCATAATCCGCCGACTTCCCGCACCTACAGCTATTACTAGTGAGTGGTCCGTAGACGCAAATGACGCCAATATGGGGGCCTTTATAAAAGGAATCGCTTTGGTGGAGGTGTACATGACCGTATCATATTTTAAACCCAAAGGGTCCAAAGTACGAAAAAGTAGAATGTAGGGCTTCTATACTAGGAATTACTCTTATGACTAAGGGAAGTATCGCCCATAACCGTACAGAGGACCCTTTGGAAAATGTAGCAAGGAATCCTAAGAAATAAGACTTCCTGATGAGAGCCCCAGATCCTCCATCTGCATCTCTTAATATCTTAGGGTTTAGGGTTTAGGGACCCTACCCGGACCCTCCCCAAGTGTCCTTTGCCAGAGGCCTTACTGTCGGTGATAATGGGTTGTCTAGGTGAGAGTAGAAGGTAGTTGGGGTGCTTAGTTAGACCACAGTCCCGCTAAAGCCTCAGTCCTAGATCCCGAAACCCTCCACCCTGGTTTAGGGTTTACCTATAGTCTCCATTATAGTTCCTTTTTGGGGCTACCTTATAAAATCCCTAGTAATTGGTTAAACCAAAAAAGGAACTACAATGGAGACTATAGGTAGGGTCTGTTTCAGCTTAGCCACAGCTCCTCGATTTTGGAGTCAAGGAGGGCTTTGCAGCTCACGGCTGTTCTTTCCAACTCCCACTCGAGCTCCTCGTCCTGGGTTTAGGGTTTAGGGTTTAGGGTTTAGGGGTTTAGGCTTTAGGACTACGACCTGTTTAAGACCCTTAGAAGTTCTAAAGGGCTTAAACAGGTCGCAGTCGCAACCCAACAAAGGTTGGGGTGCCCTAAATGTGGATGCTCAAAGCTGTCTGATGCCATATCTACTACATACCAACAACCCTGAACCCCAAACCCCAAAACCCTAAAGCCACTACTACAAACCAACAACCCTGAACCCCAAACCCCAAACCCTAAAGCCACATATCACATATCCTATATCCGGACACGGACCCACAGCTTCGATAAAGGAAGGGTGAAACCTTCGGGGAATTGCCCACAAGCTCAGTGTGAAACTTACAGGGGCCTTGATCATTCGAGGAAGGCGGCTTGGGGTATTCTATTTCCCCAACAAAGCTGTAGATTATGCATGCTGTGGTGCACTACGGTTGCGCCCCCCGGATGCTAGTTAAGACCTCTAGATCATATGTAGGGGGGTTGAAGACCCAAGAGGTCGGCGCAAGAAGCCCCGAGTCCCTCAGGGTAGGGTTTAGGGTTTAGGGTTTAGGGTTTAGGGTTTAGGGTTTAGGGTTTAGGGTGCCCTGATCTCAGGCGGCTTACAGCCATTAGCGGCTTACAGACGTCTCGACAGGCCTCTGTCAAGATCACAGAACCCGGGATGCCAATTCAGCTCGGATTCGCTGTTGACATGGTAGACTGCCTTCTGCGAAGTCCTGGGTGACGATCATAGTCTAGGGCAGTGAAGAACTACAAACAAGGTAATAAGGGGATATATGGTCTCGGGCCTTTGCCTCGGCTTAGCATCCCTTCTTGTTGTGAAGTACGGAGGCAAGGTGCGGCACACTCTCCAGCATCCACCCATAGGCCCCAAAGTAGTTCCTTTTTGTGGTTTGTATTTAGGATCCTATTAGGTAATCCCAAAAAGGAAGGACTATGGGGCCTGCGGGCAAACACAG